CACAGAGAAGGGGAGCAGGACCATTTAGTATTATGACTGCTGAGATGAATTCATGAGCAAGTTCTGCCTTTAATCTTGGATACCTTCAAAATATAAAAATATTTTGAAATTAATCCAAAAATAATTGTGTAACATTTCTTGGAGTTAGAACACACACATCTATATGGGCATGGCTGTCTGAGCTTAGCTATACGCTTTTATCTAAGTTAATATCTCAGCTGAAAGTATTACCCAAATTAAGTTATTAGTGCACTCTTTCATAATCTTTGTGCACAGAGAAATAGAGGATATCTTTCATCTGTGCTAGATTTGAGAAAGCTGCAAGGCCCTGGAACCGAAGGGACATTCACACCTCAAACTCCGAGCACGCGTTCAGCAAAGGAAATAAGGGATGGTAGGAGAGAAGCCGAAGCCACCGCAGTGCATAGATGTACCTGTTTGCTAATGATGTGTTTGTTTTAGACCAGAAGCTTCATACTGCAATCAGTAGAGATAGGTGATTGCACTGCACGCACATTTTTTGTCAGTGTTGGTCAAAGTTTATACTAACAGGCTTTGAAGGATGAAAGCTATAGAATAAAGTGTTGTTTTGTGGCAGACTGTATTAGGGCTCTCTGCCTACCAGCAGCCAAAAAATTCAGAGCATCTCTTGAAATGCCTTTACCATGAAAAAGTTTTCCACAGGTAGAATTTGTTTTCTGGCATTGCTTTGACTTATTACTCAAGAACTTGTCTGTGCCATGGGCTTTCAGCTGGTGGTGTTTGTATTAAGTTGTGTAACTGATTCTTAATGCCAGTTACGTAATGATGCATAGATTGCAGTTCCTGCACAAATCTCTGCTCACAGTGTAACATGGTTTCAATGGTTAGTCTCAGTTAAATTCATTTTATGTTATTTAAAATCCTTCCTATGTAAGACATTAATATAGAAGGCCTGTGAAAGTTCAGATAGGCCCCAAGAAGTATGTAGCTGTGACTGTCTTTTAATATAAGGATGCATGTAAGAGTGTGATGCAGTGCTCCTGGTGTTGGTGGGAGTTTTGCAGCTATCTTTTGTGAAGAATCTGGGTCTAGATTGGCTAAAATATGATAACTTGCAGACAGAGAAGACATCAGAACAAGACTTGCACAGCCAAAAGTCATAAAGTATTTTGATTTTATACAGCATCTGCTGTGTAAGCACCCTTTCTTGTATTTAAGTGATTTTTAATTAGGCTAAATCAGGATCTGGATTGGGAGGATAGTCCAAAGATGTCTTGGACACTAAATAGAATCTAGTCTAAAATAGAAAAATGTTAAAGAGACTTGAGTTTAAGGAAGTATCTTAGTATAATGAAAATGGAAATGAAACAAATACATGTCTCAATCTAAATCAGAAGGCTTGTAGATGGAGTTACAATTTGAAATGTAGTTACTTCTAGTAAAATTTACTTTTTTCCGTAAAATAAAACAGTATTTTAATGTCTTTCTAAATGATTAACGCTAAATTCCCAAAGCTAATCCTGAAAGTCTGGTTTAAGGCATTTCTTCACGGGAATTCCCCATCACCTATATATTCCCTATCACCATCATATATTTTCCATTGTGGTTCTCTGCAAATGAACATTTTCCTTTGCAAGGAACTTGCTCCAATTCTTCGCAGCAGCTGACTGCCTGAATACAAAATGTGGCACCTCTGCAGTCAGAAACCACCTTGTATAGATTTACCAGTGGGATAGATGGAATGGAGAAAGGGAGAGTGTGGATCATGCTGCTGACCACAGTGTTGCCAAATGGTGCTCTGGCTCTTTGATCATCACTGCAGCAAGCCTTGTTCTGCTTCCAGATTTTGCAAGTGCAGAGATATGGATGACTTTTTCTCCAGATCTGTCTGACCCAGGCAGGGTCGAACAGGTTTAACAAGGCCTAGATTAGAAAATAAATCATCTTTCAAAATATATTGACTCTCACATTGAGCACTGAGCATGTTTAGATAACATATCTATGCTAGTGCTTGAAACATTGGTTAAAATAGAGTAGCTATGGCATTTTTAGCTTCCTCGTGTAAACAAACTATGAAATTTTGCTCCTCTTTTGTCAGTGGTGGAACTTTCTGGCTCTAGATACACTAATAGCATACTAGAGGAACTAGAGCTGAATTAGGAATTAACAGAAATAAGGATGATCCCATGGTGGAGACCGGACCCAAGGCAGATGTTTGCCCCATAGGACTGTTGAAAGCTGTTTCAGAAATCACTCAGCCGGGCAGGAAACTTCTCCAGTTCCCAGTCTGGCCATTGCTTATTCAATTTCTCAGTGTTGTGCCAACATTACCTCCTTGCTCACCTATGCTTTCTTCACCAAATGGAGTTTCCTATCATGAATTTCTAGAAGGAAGCCTCTTTCTTGATCACCATAAGCATCTTATGATTATTTTGCTGTTACTGTAAAAACCATCTGTTTATGAGATGGGCATCTACACTGAATGCAGTATTGTGGATGAAGTTTTATAATTCACAGTAATTACTCTTCATAATAATGCATGAATATATTCTATTTTTGCTGGAAATAATGTAGGAAGTTCTTTCTCATATGGCACCTGCTTGGTGGCTTATCATAACACTATTATCACCTTAAGCCCCAAGTTTGTCCCGTCCCGTCAGGTTCAGTAAAAACGTTGATAGTTCTTAAGTGCATTCTTGCATTTCATCCCATTTTTTTGCTTTGGTCCCTAAGAACATCAAATTTTGATTCTCATTTTATGGGCAGTGCTCCCCAAACTTTCATTATTCATGAACTTAATCATTATGTTTTAACCTCTTTTGTGACATATAAGAAATATTGAATAAGAACTAACCACAAAAGCATATTTGAGAAGTGCAATCAGTAAAAATATGGAGAAAGTAGTGTCGTGAAAAATGTTGGATAAACAGCACTTGGCTGCATTTCATCTTGGTGACGCTGCAATAAAATAGGTAGAAAATGAGAGGCAAAACTGATCTTATAAGGAAGACTGAGGCAGATGCATGCCCAGCCTAGGCTGTCTACTTAACCAGAATTCTGATTTTATGTTACCAGAGCTACTGTGGACTAATAAATGGTGACGATGGGTTAGATGTTAAAATTAGATTTTTTTTTTTAAATGCTAGATAAAATAGTGTTTCTTTGGAGTTCTATATTGCTGAAAGATAGATGGTTTAAAGAAAAAAGCTTACAACAACCTATCTTGTATCTCAGGTAAGATTCATTAGATCCTAATGAGAGATATCAACCATTTAATTCCCTCTGACAACTATCTCACTTGTGGCCGAGCTTATTTTCCTTTGCTGCAGGGAACCCATATTATAATCTCTCCTTGCCTATAAGGGTAACACAAACAAGATGTCCAAAACCCACTTATGCTAGCCCTGGTACGCAGAGAAAGAAGGGGGAAGGAGAAGTGGGAAGAAACAAGGAGTATACGACCTGTATTATCTTAAATCTTAAAGATCTGTGGAGTGACTCCATATTAAACTGACAACTGGTTTTATGAAACCTCCCTGCCGTGCTGTGTCCCATGTAATGTTCCTGAAGCAAAGCTTGGCTGTGTGGAAGTTTCTGAGCTGGGAATGTGCACTTGAAATAGAGTGGAAAGGACTCTTGTAAAAGAAGGCATCCTTTTCAACCAGTCTGCTCTTCCCCTGGCGTAATGAAACAATT